GCAGGCGGTCGGCGGGCGCTGCGGGCGGCTCGGAGGACGCGGGGCTGCAGCTACCGCTCGCCCCGCTGCTCGCCCCGCCGCCGCCCGGGCCAGAAGCAGCGGTCGCGAGCGAGGTGACCAAGGCCAGCGGCGCGGTCTGCGCCGAGGCTGCTCGCGGGGGGTCCACAGCCAGCAGCGCGTCGATGCGGAAATTTTTGGATTTTTCCATCGGCTCGTTAGGGGCTGGCGATCAGGGCCGGGTGTGGGTGACGCGGCCGTGTGCGGGCTCGCGGAGACTGTGCGTGGCGTGGCAAGCCCCAGGGCTCGGTACTGTTATGGTGATTATTTGCCAATAATCAAAGTCGCCGCCGGAAACTCAGCCGAGAGTGACCACGGTCCGGAGTCTCCTCCGTGCGGGCCCCGCCCCGGACGCGTTCACACGCGTTCGCACACACTCCCACGCGAGTGCTTGGGCGCCGGGGCCGGGAGCCCGGCTTTCTGCGCTGCAGCCCTCAGGCGACCGCGCCGAGGCCGCTGGCGCCGTGGTGGGGACCCGCGCCCCTCCGCGCACTTGAAGCGCAGCGCGGCCACTGATTGGCGCGCGCGGCGGGGGTGCGGTGCCCCGCCATTGGCCGAGGGGCGCACCTGTCACCGTCCCCGCGGCCCGCCGCCCCGCCCCTGCGCCGCGGGGTCCTAAACAGCCCGGGGTGCCGAGCCGCGATCGCCGGGCGGGGACAGCGACAGGGGTTGGAAAACTCGGGGGGGGGGCTGCCTAGGGCCCCTGCCCTCCCTCCTTGAGGTGCTGAACTGGGTGGCAGGCGTCGGCAACCCGGAGTCCCCGTGTGGCCCCCGCGGCTGCCCGAGTCCAGCCCCCGATACACGCTGTTCCGAACTGGGCTCGCGTCACCTAGAACCAGCAGGGCGCGTCCTCTGCCACCTCCTCGCCAGCAGTTGAGTTTGTCCACTTCGGCGTCGGGGAGCCCAGTCGGCTCCAGATCTAGCCGCTCTGCTCAGTGACGGCAGCGAAGACCGTTCTCATCCCCACGCCGACAGGGAGCGGTTTGTGTCCCTGTGGCCAACCGTCTGCAGGTGGGACCTTCTCACCTCCGCTGGAAAGTCCCATGCGTTTCAGGTGTTGTGTGTGGGCTCATATACGTGCGTGTGTGCGTGAGTTTGCCTTCTGCAAATCTCGCCGTGATCCTCCGCTCCTTCAAGGCGGAGAGGGCAGCGTCTGCGTGCCCGTGACCTGCAGGGCCCAGGTCGACTTGGAGACTTCGTCCACCAGCCGTTGAGCGGGTCGTCGGTGACAGAGCTCTTCCTCTCTGCCAGGGAATCTCCATGGGCTTGCAGGAAACGGTACCCACCTCGGGGACGGTAGTTATTGGGGGGGAGGGGGGAAGGTGGTAGTTACCCGGGAGCCAGTCACTCTGACCCTGGCTAGCCTCCAGGCCCCAGACAGGAAGTGCAGTCCTCTGCTCCCTCTGCTTGCAGCGTCTAGGAAAATCGGACCGCGAAGGCTGGGGGAGGCAGTAGAGGGGAAATCCAGACCCTCCCCCATACACACACTTCAAATATTTACAGTAAAAGCACTTCCAAGAGCTTTTTTAAAGCCGAATCAACGCGCAGGCGGCCCCCAACACCAGGCTTTGTCAATAGCTCTATTAGACCTAGCTATCTTCCCCAGACAGGTGTGGGAATGTGGAAAGGAGTTTCAGGTTCTCAAAGCCTGGCTTCCCATGCAGGTAAGAGGTAGCTAAAGGACAGGAAGGGGACTGTGGGCGGGGCAGAGCAAGAAGACAAAATCGGGGCCAGGAGGACTTTAAAATTTGATCAGGTTGCTGCAAGAGGGGTTTTTAAAAGGTAAACACTGTATAGGGATTGGGTCATTTTTCTTCAAAAGGCTTTTTACCTATGTGAGAGTTGATAGCAGTGATTCTGTTGGCAAGCGTTTCTTTTTCATTCTGGCAGGGTAGTTCCGAGACACACAGTTAGGAGGCTAGCATGGGTAAGTGACAGCAGTGACTTCCACAGCAAAAACCAACATTAACTCATCAATAGAAATGGTAGCGCTGACATGGTGTTTGTCTTGTCTTTCAATATCTCTTCGAGGAGATAAAAATGAAGCCAATCCTGCCTCTATGTGGAGAGAGGAAAACACATTTCTTGAACATTTCTTGTGCCATGAGGAGCTTCGTAGAATTATCTTCACTGTTGACACCAGACGAGACATTTTACAGAGTACACGTTCAAAGGGGTTGAGACTGCCCTCCCCTACCACACTCCCTCAGCAAACCGTTCAGGCTCAGAGTACTACAGTTCCCACCTGCTGCCCTCCGTGGTCTTCGTGTCCCAGTCCTGCTTTATCTGTTCCATTGGGGAGGGAGAGTTTGTAAAGGGGCCTGAGATTCTGAGCCACCTGCTCAAGGCAGGAAACCCTTGGCGGTCTCCCTGCCTCTGCAGGAAAGACAGAGCAATCATGGCCCCCACCCCTGACAGGGGTGCACTCTGAGGCTGACATGCCTTTCCCAGTCTCATCGCTTCCCTCCTCCTCCATCTGCTGGGACAGGTCAGCTAGTCAGGAGGCTGGGGACAAGGCGGGGAGTGGCTGCAAATGAAATGCCCTGAGATTGATCTTGGAGAGCCTACTGCCCTCTCGCCTACCTAAAACAACCACCACCACAGCTACAAGTATTTTAGTTGGTGATGGGTTGTGCAGTCTACACTCGACAAATCACCCCATCTTCCTCAACAAAACCATTCTGTTTTTTATAACTCCCAGAGGAATTCATTTCAGCCCTTTTTTGTTCCACAGCGACTGTGCCCTGAAACCCCTCCAAATCCCTCCTCCCTGCTTTACCCCCTGGGTTGGCCTGGAGGGCACACAGGAAGACGTACCCACACACCTGAGGGCCCAGGGAGGAGACACCAAGAGGACTAAGCCTGCCCCCCCCCCGGGCCTGGTCCTGGCCACCCCTCTAACTGCAGTGTGACTGCCGATGTCGAAGGTCCTATACTTGATGGATTTCTGTTTCTTTGGAAAAGTCAGCGTTAGACCAAATGGACGCTGGTTGTAAACGGCTTTAAAATGATCGTGTATGCCGGTGACGTTAAGAATAAGTTAATACATATTGGAGGTTCTCTGTGAAGCTGTGTGGAGAGAGAGGGAGCCGCCTGGGGATTTGGGGTCTTTGTGTGGTTTACGATGTGTGAAGCTGAGCTCGCTGGGGCCCTTCCTGTTCCCAGCATCTGTATTGATCCAGCCCGGCTGGCTTTGAAGGTTTGGGGCAGACAGGAGCAGGGCTTGGGTCTTGGGAAGGGGCGCAGTTGGGGATCAAAGGTCTGCTCCAGCGGTACTGATGCCTCTCCGGTGACCCCCTCTCCCGCGGTCCTGGGGACAGCGAGGCAAAGGCCTGGCGTGCCCTTCCTCAGGCTGGCTCCCGTCCCGCCCTTCCCTGCCACAGAGCATCCCTCTCTCGGCCACACGGTCCCCCTTCAACATACTGAGCACGGCCTGTGGCCGCCCTCTCTCCCACTACTTAGAAGGTGAATTGGCGATGTACACAAACAATCACAAAAGAGCACGCTGTTGTAATCCGAGTCTGTTCACGTCTGGATGGAAAATACAAAGCGCAAAACCTGCACGGGCCGTGCTCACAGGGCGGAGGCAGGCGCCCTCCGCTCGTTTGTAACTGCTTCGTTCCCTGTGAAGCGGGTGGGCACGCAGAGCAGTGGGCGTGAGGGTGAGCCTGGCAGGACTGGTGGCTGCCCCTCTGGGTGGACGACGATCCGTGTGACACTTCCCACCTTTCCCTGAGCTGAAGCCCAGGACCCGAGCAGCTTTGCAGAATCCATCCTACGGAATCCGTGCCCTGGGGGGTGGGGTAACTGAGCTAAACTTCAGTTTAACCTTGCCGGGTTTCCTTCAGGAAATGAAGGCTCGCGGGTGCTGCGTAACCTGCCTGGGGTCAGGGCCTGAGCTCCGGCGGCGGCGATGGGGCTTGAACCCAGGCAGTTGGGTTACCAGCAAAGATGCTGCGTGAGGGCGCCGCAGGGCCGCGGGTCGGGAAGTAACTGGTTCTGCGCCCAGAGCAGCCACGGGGGCCTGCGCAGGGGCTGGGGGCTCATGGGCGCGGGGATGGGCTGGGGTCACCGGAAGGCAAGCGCGGGCATGGGAGGAGAGGGGCGGATCCGCGTAGGTGCCCCCGCCCCCAGGGCCGGAGGGCCAAAGGTATCACGTCGTTAGCGCTGCGCTTTGATCTGCTGACCTCTTCCCTGACCCGGGGCGCTGCGCCTTTAAAGGGTCTGGAAAGGGTGGGAACCCCGCAGACCCGCAGCTCCAACCCGATGGGGGGCAGCTGGTCGCGCTTGGTGCCTTTTCTCTCGGCCTCGCCCTTTCCACCTGGATCCCTGTCACTGCCATCCCGGTGTCCCAGGCTGTCCATCTGCACCTGGCCCAGCCCTAGCTGCAGACCACCAGCCCAAACCCCAGCTCACTGCTGGGGGCATGTGAAAAGGTCAGGGGGTTGCCGCAGGATTTAAATGGGTAAAAATCTAGCAAACGATGGGCCTTCTACTTTTGGAAATTTCCTCCAGAGACAAAAATATCTGCTTTATGCCCAGACCTAGGGCAGTCTCCTGGCTTCCCTGAACACCGCGGGCCGGGCAGGCCTGGCAGCCGGGCCTCAGCGCTTGGCCCCTGGGGCCGAGGCAGGACCATCCTACTGCAGGTTTCCTTCTGACCCAGGAGTGTCTTCTGTTTTGTACACATTCGAAGCTCCTGGGTCACAAAGAGAAACAAATTTTCCCCTCCCCAAAGAATTTGGGGAGCATGGGGAAGCTTACATGAGCCCCTTTACTCACTCTGGGGGGGGGGCAGCAACCCTCAAGAGAGAGGAAGAACTTCCCAGAGAAGCCTATATATTTGCTGAAGGGTTTTAATTTTATTTCATTTTATTGCAGGTTCACCAGGGCCCTGGGCATCACACACGGTCAGGACGAGGCTTATAACACCCCTCCTTGCGAAGTTGGCTTTTTTCAGCTTGCTGCAACCTGTGCAACCCCTCTCCGAGCAAGCACTGAATCTGACCTCAGCTCTGGGTGAGTGTCTTGCACTGGGTGGGGGTGGGGGGGGGTCTCACTTTAAGACTTAGAACAATGCATACCCGCTCAGGGAGAGCCCAGGTCCCCAGTGTCCCCTGTGAAATGTGTCCAGTCATCGAGGACTTGCTTTCTAAGGGCTCCATGTTGTTGTTTAGATAGCATCTGCCTGAGGCTGTGCGGGCACACCTCTCTATCCTCCCAGTCCCCCACACACACACCCAGCGGGAGGATGGGAGGGTCCCCAGCGCCACCAGCAACTATGCCACCTGGGAGAGCGGAACCACACAGGCTGACACCCGCATGCAGGCTGGGTGGGCACACAGGGGAGAAACACAAATAACAACAGGTCTGGCTCAGGAGGCTCAGTGCTTCAGTGCGTGGATGTTTTAGTGCATTCCGACCTGAAATTATAGCTGAAATTATAGTCG